GTAAGCATTTTTTCGTGTCACTTGCATACGATAAATACGATGGTATAAAATAAACTATGATAAAAAAATTTTTTTTTTAATTAAAAAAGTTCAATTTAATCAATTAGACTGAAAAATATTTTGTTTTAAAGTCATCATGAAAATTTAAAAGAAGAAAATATTTTTATTTTGCACTATAAGAATTAGTGGATGGAATTCAAGATATGGCTGATGTAACATACACACTCAGATACACACCTATACATCCAACAAATGCCCGCGCACTCGACCGACCGACCGACCCTTTGTCCTGAGTCATGTGCTGCTAACTTTATACTCAATATACTTTCAACATAGTTTGTTACCTGTCAGGGTTATTGGAAACTCGAGCACTACAGTAGAGTACCAAGCAGTGCCTGCAATCTAAACATGTTCAAGTTTTCCTTTTTTGTAATCAATAGCCAAGTTTTATTCTCACTAAATGAGATGTGTCAAGAAAAGTTCTTAGTAGTGTAAAAAAATACAAAAATCATGAGTAATTCATCTTGCTTTAAATTGTCTGAAAACATAATTGAATTTATTTTAAATTATTTTGATCATTTAAAAGAAGTTGGTACGTTTAATAATCGTGAAATTATTAAGTTATTTATTAATTAGAAGCAAACCCAGATTAATAAATTATAATTTTTATAGAGTTCATGAAAACTTTGAGTTTATTATGGGAACATATTAGTATAGCCTGTTGAGTTGATTGAGAGTGTATTAGTAGATACAAACCAGTTTAGTCAGCCATTTTCTCTTTAGCGCAGTAGAAAAAAAACGAGTTTAGTCAAGCATCTGATTTCGGTGAAAAATTATAAGTCAATTTAGTAATGTCTTTTTATAATTTGACGATTCTCCATCAAATGATTTTTGATCGAAATTGTATTTAAAAAACGTTTTATGAGACATTTTGTTATTACTCTCAGGTCAATATTTTTAATAAATCAAAATCAGAACAAATTTTAGTTGTCTCTTTCGCACATTTACCATATAAATATACAATTATTTACTAAGAATGATTCTATTTTTACTGACACGTTGATTGCCATTTGTATTTACCTTCTATTGTTTGGAAACAATATAAAATTTTTCTTTCTATTCAAATACAATTCTAAATGAGCTATTCATCGATTTTATTTTGAAAGTAATTAGCTTGTACTCCATTCGCATCGTTTATTAATAGCACCATTATTATAACTGTAGTCTTCTTTCTTTTAAAATCAAAAATTAATTTTAAATTAGCATCAATAGTATTGCCATCGATCTACAGAAGCCAATACAGGTTAACAGGTATAAACACGATAAATGGTTTGAAAATTTCGGTTTAAGAAAACGGTATTGTGAAAAGCAGTATTTTAGAAACTTTTTCACAAATGATAAATAATACTACGAAAAAAAAAAAAAAAAAAGAAATCGGGAAGCTCTTGCAATTTCCAACACACCATTTACTCCAAAAATATATGTCACATTTGATTTAACCAAGATGATAGTTAGAGCCTCCATTGCACATTTGTTTTGAGGTCAAATGTAACTTTGCAAAAATATTTGTAGAAATTTTTCTACGAAACATCCCGACCAAAAGTTTCATAAAAGTACTATTACTGATTCATTAAACAAAACCAATTAGTAGTTGTGTAAATCCAATCAATATTGACAAAGATATATTTTTGAAACGCCCCTTCGACTTGAAAGTTATGCGCGAAATCCCCCTAAAAAAAAAAAAAAATCCAGTCTTACATCACAGGGTCACGTATTGTTCCAGCAAATGCACGAGACGGAGGCTCGTCGAGCTGACCTCGAGCGGCAACACGCGGAGGCGCAGGCCCACCTGCGCGATAAATTGGCGGGCCGGTACCAGGGCACCGAGTCGATCGAGGCGCTCCAGTCGAAGATCCGCGAGCTCGAGAAGAAAACCGAGTTGCAGATCGTGAGGCACGAGGAGCTCAGTCTCGAGCTGACGAGTCTGAAGCACACCCGGAGTCGAGGTCCCAGCGCCATGGGTGGCGCCAGCGCTATGTCGGGTATGTCGACGAGCATGTCCACGGCTACGTGGCCGCCGGCCGGCTCGGAGATTGATCGGCTCATGGCCAAACTCGAGCTGGACAGGTATCGCACGTACGATATTTATTTTCTTCCAATGTCGTTATTAATTCGTTTTGATTTTTCCCCCTCCCCAATTGAGGTATCGTTAACGCACGCGTAAATCTTTTTTGAGACGCGCACGACGACTACTTTGTGTTTTATTAACCAGCAAATCTGGTCATGTTGGTCGTTGGGATATGTGAGTAATTCTCCACGTGGTAGAGATCGATGATGAAAAGGTGGAGAGTCAATGTGTGATCTACTATAATATTTTATATTTATCTGTTGTGCGTATTTTTTGTTGTCATGTATGTGGTGAGTACGAAAAATAAGTAGCCGTTTGAAGAACAAGCTCAAAAATGTTGAAAATAATTGGTGCAGATCATTAGATTATTGTTAGATTGTAAAAAGACTAGTGGATGGATATTTTTTCAAATTCTTAGTATCAAAATTAATTTTTTCCGAAAGTATCAATTATTTCTGCTGAAAAATTTGTTTTTCATACGATTTATGTACTTATGATACAAAAATTAATAAAATTCTTCTTAACAAAATTAATGAAATTTTTGTTGAATGTGTTTAGTATAAGGAGTAATAAAAAAATTGATTTTTTTAGCAGAAATAATACATAACACTATTCAGTAGAGTTTTGAGCTTAAACATTTTATAAACTAGTTCTTCTCAAGCCTGGTCATCAAAATGATGCTAAAATTTCAATATTTTTAGAAAATAGAGAGTGTATCTTACGTAAATAGTTTATTTTCATACGGTTGTACAGGGAAAACCCATTAAGTTTTTTAACCCTTTGACCCTATCGGAAGAAGCATGTATAAAAATCGACTGACAAGTAATTACATAAATAATTATTTGTGCTTGATACTATAAAAATATTAGTTTCTACTAGATGGGTAAACGAAAAAAGAATAATCGATGCTTGGTGCTTGCGAGGTGTACTATATTTTTTAATTCTTTGTCGTCTTATAGATGCTTTTCAAAGTAAAAACACTCTTTATTAAACATATTTATTTTGGGCATATTTTAATCTATTTAAATGCAAAAGAGTGTACGCTTTCATATTATTATCTTTATTCTTTCCAAACAAGATGTACTTTCTTTAAAATGACAACTAATTAGTTTGTATTGTCCACATCAACTTTGAAATCCTAAAAATGTTTTTGAGTTTGAGTGTTGTAGTGCATCTACCCAAAAAATAAAGCTAAAAAATAAATTATAGAAAAAAACCTATTTTGTAGGTTAGGGACGAGCTAAATGTACCTAAACAGTGTGTATTTCTTCTCAATCCACATATTATGCCTACTAATTTTCTTAGACGTAAATTACTGGAAGACAAATTCATTTTCTTAACTAGATTTCAGTCTTTACAATTAATTACACTCGTTAATTGATTTATAAATCAATTACTAGTTACAAAATATTGTGATTCGTATTCAACATATACAGTTTTTCGATCATTTTACATGAAGCAGATTAGATGGAGAAATCTATACTAAGTCAAAATTTTTAAATACTTCAGTCCATTTGAATAGAAATTTTAAATTCAAAATTAATTGAATGGATTATGATAAATAAGTGAAAAAGTTGCTATACAGTTACGAGCAATTGTAATTATGTCCAAATGTTGAAAGAAATACATTTTCAGAACAAAGTTAGGTTTTTTCTTGTACTTGGTAACTATAAAAGAAAGCCAGTAGATTAGTGCGAGTTTGATCAAACATCTGTTTCTTGAATCAGTAGGTAAGTGCGAGTGTAGTCAGACATTCCTTTGCTGTTACAGTAGATAAACACGAGTTTAGCCAGACAGCCGTAAATAAAAAAAACAACTTTTTGTCTTTCATATATCTAATAACTGTTACAAAACCTCGGGTAATGCCTTTCTTCTCATAAAAAATTAGATTGTAGTGTAGTGTTTCACAAATAAAAACTTTTCTTTTGTTAAACATCAAAACCTTTGTTAGAGATGCCAGTTCAGTAGAAAACTAAATATTTAAGCTCGATGGCGTGAAAAAGTAAAAAATTTAGACCTATAGCATATTATCATGTCAATTAAAATCGTTGAGCACGCGTACAATGACAAAAATGCACGAGCGTACCTGACGTATGACGTACGTGTGGGATGTTTCAGCAGTGGTCGGCTAATGCACGAGTTGGAGCACACGCGAGGCGCAGTGACGACACAACAGCCATCGATGAGCCAAAGCCTGCTGCGCTCGAGCGCTGAAAACCTACCGAATTTGGGTCATCAGCATCCACACGCCCTCAGCCTCGGCATGCCTTCGACACACACCCACGTGAGTCTACTTTTCATTATGTGATTTTTTTTTTTTTTTTTTCACTCACAATATTATTTCCCCCCTTTTTTAATGGTGCTTGCGGTGTGTTTCATCTTTCTTTTGTCGGGCCGTTTTGATATTATACACTTCACGTGCTGTTTCTTTAATTATTTGTATACTCATTGGATTTATTTGCTCGTTAAGCTGTGTGATGTTTGATGTTATTTATCATCCATCACTGTTTTTTTGGGGTGTTTATTGCTGATTCCATTATTTCTGTGGCGTGTGTGTGTGTGTGTGTGCGCGTGTGTGCGCGTATGTGTAACATGTGCACACGTAAAATAGTATGCATGGGTGGGTAAGCGGCGTATACTGATAAAGCTCCAGCGCGTGCGTGTCTCGCATGTTTAGCGAGTCATACAGTGAGACATGAGGTTTTTTTGAGCGACAATGCGGCAGTTCACCTCTTAGTTTGAATGCGGCCAAGCGTGGTGTAGGGTAATTAACATCTTTTTTCTTTTTTACTTCCGATTTTGTGATGAAAATAATTTTTCAAACTTGCTCTATAGTCTTGGCTGTGAAAATTTTTTTTCATTCACACGCTTGGGCTTCCGTGCAATTAGATTTTGGGGTGGAAAAAAATGTAGCAAGCTCAATAAGTTATCAGTCGTTAATGAAGTAAAGCTGGTAATGTGAGCTAATTTTTTTTTTTTCTAAAAAACATAATTTTATAATTTTCATTACTAAGTTTGAATTACATTTCTCAGTTTCACATCCCTTATAGTTGTGTTTTTTAAGATGAGTAATCTTTTCAAATTTTATGATAATTCATAGTGTTTTTGGAAAATGACTCTAACTTCTATTATACATTTTTTTCTTCAAATTTTTCGATTGA